ATAGTCTTTTTTATAAGCATCACTGGATACTAAGAAGAGATTGGACTTTAAATTCTAGGGGATAAATGATTTTAACCTTGTGTTCTATAACCAGATTAAATTCTTAATTAAGTGTTAAAGTAAGATAACAACTCAATACATTCAAAGGTACAGAAGTTTCACTCTCACACATCTAAGGCAGTTGCTTCAAGATAGTTAGCAAGGATAGAAAAGGTCAAAGAATCCAGGTGTAGTGGATTCAGCTCAAGAACTTAATGAAAGGAAGTTCCAGGATGACAGCAATAGGATATACTTTTGTTGCATTAGGAAGAGGACGAAGGGCTCAAGGAAGGAGGTGTCTATGAGGGGGGAATAAATGGATGAGGTGTTTTCTTATATTTGTCTTTATCTCTGAAATATTGGATGAACTTTAAGAAACTTAAAGCTGTAATTGCTAAACTAAAAGGAAATCAGTAAAACTTTAGGGAAAGCATTATACTGCTTAAGAAAGAAAAGCACTCCATTTAATTCTGCACTAAAAAAATATTTTTACCTTCCATATGTGTCTCTTAAATCAGTCCATTTGGCTGGGTGCTGATGACTTATCTAGCTACTCAGAATGTAGAGATCAGGAGGATCACAGTGCAAAGTCAACCAGGCAATTAGTTTGCAAGACCCTATCTTGAAAATACCCAGCACAAAAAAGGGCTGGTAGAGTGCCTGCCTAGTAAGTATAAGGCCCTGAGTTCAAACTGCAGACCCACCAAAAAAAAAAAAAATCAGCCCACTTTTTTCTATTACTACTATCACTGTAAATTGAGTTCCATCATTTTCTTGCCTTGACTGCTACAGTAGTAACCTCCTAAATAGTTTTGTGGTATCCATTCTGGCTTGTCTCAAATATCTTTATATTACATTCCATAGAATGATGTTTTTCAAAATGCAAATGTAGCATGTCCTCTCTTTGGTTAAAACACTTCAATGATTTCCTATAGCTTTTAGAATCAAAATTCATCGCATGTCCTACAAGGTTCCACACAGCCCTAAACAGCAATGTGATGGCATGATACATGGTCTTGCCTTACTTCCTTAGATTTGGCTGGGAAGAACACAAGAGACCCTAAGGGATTTAAACAGTTAAATTCTTCTACAGACAACAAAGGAAGATCAGCATGGTAATACATCCCTAATCTCACAGGATGTCACTGAACTAGAGGGGTCATGTGATAGGAGTGATGTGTTGCTTTGTTTTTGAGATGTGAATCCTATGCTGCAGCTAAGCAGTTTTATAGCCAGCAATATCAGAACCAGGGGCAAAGTGGAAAGTTCCATGGCCTCCTGGAATCAGAGAAGCAGATAAGAAACTGCTTTATGGCAGCCTCTTGCAAGCTAAGGAGTCAGATAAGAAATAGCTCCTCATAAGACTGCCCATCTTGCCATGTTCAGGAAGGATCACAGGACATCTACCAATAGTTAATCCTTTTCTACATGGCCTATGTGGAGACATGTGATTGCCAGGGTACTATGGTATATTTGAGCCTTTCCCCTACAAACATAGGCTGTCTTCTCTAACAATATAGCCTCGTGTACTCACTTGCTGAACATCAGCCACACTGACCTCCTTTCAGTTTCTTCAGTGGGCCATGCTTTCGCTTGTCATAGAGCATATATGCTATCCTCTCTTTCTCCTGCCTCTTTACCATGTTAACTCCTACTCTTTCTTCAACATTCCTCTGCTTAACATTTCTGACCAGGGCAGTACTCCCTGTTATCACATAGCACAGTGTACCTCTCCTTCATAGCACTTAAAATCATTTTAATTTTATAATTATTTGTGTAATCTTGAATTAATACAATAGTAGAGATAATATACATATTAATATCTCATTTGTCATTTAATTTTAAAATGCTCTTATATACTTAATTTTGTTTTGTCCTTTCTTTCTATGAGATGAGAGCCCATATTAGAGCTCATGTTTTTACTCTCGTTTAGTGTGCCCTGTACTTCACTTCATGTTTTTTCTGTAAGTATATTAGATATAAGGTGGCACACAGTAAGCAAGAGGCATAAAGAAAAGGCCATACAGGTTTAAAGGAGAGAAATCACTCAGATGAAGTGATCACAATAGACCTCGATGACATAGATCACTCCATCTATGTGATATAGATGCCTTTTGAGCTGCTTTGAAAGTTGATGGGCTTCAGAAAGACATAGAAGAGAGGATCTTCTAAAACGAGGTAGTATCAAAGGCATAAATAATGGTATGTGACTACTTGAAGAATGGAAAGTGAATATGTTTTGATGGATGTAGGGTCATTATGGGTGCTAGAAAGGGAGGTTGGAATTAGATTGTGCAGAACCTTGAATATGGAATTAGTTTTGTTGGCAAGAGGAAGTAGTAGCTAATGTTGCCAAGTAGACAAATTATCTAATCAGAGTTGAACTTTTGGGGGCTTAATTAAGCAACACTATATAAAATAAATTGGAGCAGGGAGGTCTGGATACAAACCAGTTACTACTGGTCTAAGTGAGAAGTGATGAGATTATGACTTGGGGCATACCTTTTTAACCAGTAAGTCATGGCACTCTTTGCAAAGTAGTGTTAAATTCAAAGCCTGTCCCCCTTTGTTACTAGTAACATAGCTGTCTTTGAGGAAAATTAGGCTTATTTAACATGGTGCAGCAAATGCTAGCACAACACAGTTGAACTGTAGATCAGCTGAAGGAGTTGGAAGGAACTTACAGGATTTCAAAATAAGTTGGGTGAGTCTTAGAAGGGTTTCAGGAAAGCTGAGCTCAGTTTCTAAATTGGGTACTCTCAGAAAGTGAGGTATTGGTTATTTTGACACTTTTTATTTTGAAGGTAGACTTTAAAAATAGTAGTCATCTCTGTTAGCCAGAAGAGGGAGATGTTTCATTATTTTTGTGGTTCTTGAGCATTTGTCTCAAATAATTACATGGTAGTCTTATCTCTGCTTTCCACTATGGTCACAGAGTGGTCTTATCTGAGTATTGTTTATACTCTCAAAGTTGTTTATGTGCAGTTGGGAACTTTATGTTCAGCTGTCAACTTTCAGCTGCCAGGGATTTTTTTTAAAAAATGTCTTTTAATCATTTATATACTAAATACTGTCCCCTAAAAAAAATATGTCTCTTAGTCTGTCAGGCTTAGCTAAAAAATTCATGTATCTCTTTATCACATACTGACCTAATACAGAAATGCAGGATGTAAAAGTCAATTTAATAGACATCATTAAAGAGATTTTTTAAATTACTTATCAGTACGTGTGTTAGTTTTTTTTTTTTTTTTTTTTTGTCACTGTAACAGATACCCGAAAGAAACAATTTTAATGGAAGAAGGACTTATTTTGGCTAAGGCTTCAAAGGTTTTTGGGCCTGTGAGGTGGCGTACCATGGCGGAAGGGCATGGTGCAGCAGAGATGCTCACCTCCTGACAACCAGAAAACAGAAAGGAAAAAGAAAGGACCAGGGAAAATGTGTCTTCAAAGGCAGTTCCCCAGACACGTACTTTCTCCAGCCAGGCCCCACTTCCCAGTAATGCCATTAAATTATGAATCCATCAGTGAATTAATATATTAATGAAGGCAGAACTCTCATGGTCCAGTCACCTCCCAATGATTGGATCCCCCAGTTGGGGGCTAAGTCTTCAATACATGCACTTTTGGGAGGATACTTCAAGCCCAAACCATAACAGTACCTAATTCCTTGACCTGCTAAGCCCAAAGAGAGAGCAGTCACTTGCCTCATATAGTGAGCAGTTTCCTCCATTTACCCTAAGCTACTACACATATGTTATCATCAAGTAGATGTGCTGTGACTTGAAAAGACCTGGTTGAACAATGGTACTGAAAATGAGGAGTAAAGGGCCAAGAAAGGTTGTAAAGATTTTCAAAGCTCTCAACATTTCCATCTTCAACATTTCCAGGTCACTTAAAATGTATGTTCCAGCAAAATAAATTGTTGTCAGTCTCTACAATCTGTGGTTTTATGCCTTTGGCCATTATGCTGTCCATCTGCAATACTTTCCCCTTGTTCCCTTTTAATGTCCAGTTCCTATCTGTCCTTCAAGGACCAATTCAAATATCTCTCCCCTCCATGTTACTAGTCAGCAGTAAGATTTTTTTTAAGCCTATTTTAAATACAGTAAATGAAGAATAAATTATATACTTGGATATATTGTTTCTGTCTTTGAGAAGTTATGCTGGAAGTAATCTATTTATTTGAATTCATATAGCAAACTTTATATTCCTACAGCATTTATTTGTAAGATTTATTAAATCTATATAGTGTCCTATTTAGTAACTAGCAGGGGTGCCATCAAAAATGCCATTAGGCTTGTTCTTTCCAGATTCTCAGGCTTAAGTATAAAGAAGAGATAAGTTATAAATCTCTACCTTCATTCTCACTTCATTCAGGACAAAATTTGTTACGGATAGTCTGCTGTATTTGGCTCTATTTATTACCAAGGAGGCTGAAAGAAGCTTGTATAAGTAGCTAGGTGTTCCTTGTAAAAAAGCTGCCAGTGGAGCTAAAATGAAGCAGGAACTGTTATTACAAATACCTTTTAAAAGGTCAGGGAACCAACAGTATGGGGGTGGGAACCAACCGGGGGTGGCAAGAGTGAAAAGATAGAGTACCAAGGGGATGAATATGATCAAAGTATTTCATATGCACGTATGAAAATAGAAAATCCAAACCTGTTAAAAATTATTAAAAAGGGGGAGAGAGGATAAGAAAGAGTAATAGAGGGGGTGAATTTGATCAAAGTGCATTATATGAATGTATGGAAATACCACAACGAAACCCCTTTTCTATAACTTGTATACACTAATAAAAATAAAGAAAGAAATATCTTAAAAATTGCATAGGTTAACATTTGAGGAAGTAAGAAAATCATAATCTTCTTGTGTTATCTGAGAGAAAAGAGTCTGGATAAAATGATTTATATTTAATTAATAATAATAGATGTAATAATGTTTGTTTCTCTTATTTAATTTAGCAATGACTCCCTGCAAAAAACCTGGGAACCGAGAATGCAATCATCATTGTAAAAATAAACATACATGTGGACATGATTGCTGTGAGTTCCATAAGATAAGTTTATTTCAGGCATTAAAAGTTGAAAGGACTTTAACACATAGTAATGGCATCCTAATTATATATAACCTCATTTATACCTTTTAACTTATAACTCTTAAATAATTTTCCTTCTTTTGGGGGCAAGATGAAAAAAGTAAATAATAGATTTGAAATGTTAAAGACAGATTGGCTTTATATTGAATACTATCTAGAGATTAACAAATAATTTGAAATTTCTTTTTATAGGTAAAACTGGAGTTGCTCAGAAGTCAGAGGTTAAAGAGTCAGCAATTTCTTCATATTTGTCTGACTTAAGAAACAGGAATGCTGTTTCATCTCTTCCTCCAGTTAAGCGTCTCAAGGTTGTTTTGAAGCATTTGTTTGCTCTACAATTAAGTGAAAGTAAATCTCATTTGTTCTGTGTATCAATTAGTAGGTATCCACAGTATAATTTAGTTTTACTTGTGGGTTTCTCTAGGAATATGACTATTATTTATAATCATTGTAGACATCTACCTTTAGAACATATATCACCTCTCCCTCTTTATTTATTTATTTATTTATTTATTTTTCAGTATTGGAGTTTGAACCCAGGCTCTTGAGGATGCTAGGCAAGCATACTATCACTTGAGCCATACCACCAGCCTACCTTTATTTTTTTAAAACCAGAGAAGATGAAAAAAGAGGAAGATATGATATTGGCTTGGTTCAGCAACAGTTGAAACTAGTCATTCTTATCCTTTCTTGGCTCAATCTGTGCTGGACTGTGGGTTCTTGCATTTAGATGAGTACTGAGCAAGAGCTTTCCTTCCACATGATGAAAGAATGAGTTTCAACTTGTTGGTAGGCCAGTCACTAGCAGATTTATCTTAAGTCTAAGTCATCATATCCTAGAAAATCCCTTTTCTAGGACTTTTTATAAAAATAAAGATTTATAAGAATAAAGTCATGAGACTAAAATGGGAGAATGTTGAGAAATAGGAAAAGGCACGAGGTTTGAAATGATCACCACCTTCTCTTAGGATAATTTTTTGTTAGCATAAGTTTTTCCTGTCTTCCTTCTTCCCTTTTTTCCTTTCATATTTTTTTCTTCCTCCTTTCCATATTCATTGAGCATCAAGAATATGCCAGGCTGTCAAGACATACTGATAAATAAGACACTTTTAGTCTCACCTCTCATAGAATTTATTGTTGAATGAAGGATATATAAATAAGTAAATAGGCATTTTCAATATGATGTGATGAGTAATTCTATGACAGATGTATAAGATAGTTCAGTTAGATAGAAAGTATACTCAATGCACATTTGATGGCCAGGAAAGGATTCCTAATAGACGTAATTGAGACCCAAAGACTAAGCCAGATACAGAGAGGCGGGGCACCAGAATAGTGGTGGGGGAGGGATAGAATAATATTCCAGGCAAGAATGTACAAAGGTGTGTATTCAGGGAGGAAGAAGGAAAGAGGAAGGAGGAGAGAAAGAGGAAGAGATTTTTTTTTTTCATTTTTCTTTTATTATTCATATGTGCATACAAGGCTTGGTTTATTTCTCCCCCCTGCCCCCACCCCCTCCCTTACCACCCATTCCACCCCCTCCCGCTTCCCCTCAATACCCAGCAGAAACTATTTTGCCCTTATCTCTAATTTTGTTGTAGAGAGAGTATAAGCAATAATAGGAAGGAACAAGGGTTTTGCTGGTTGAGATAAGGATAGCTATACAGGGCATTGACTCACATTGATTTCCTGTGTGTGTGTTACCTTCTAGGTTAATTCTTTTTGATCTAACCTTTTCTCTAGTTCCTGTCCCCTTTTCCTATTGGCCTCAGTTGCTTTAAGGTATCTGCTTTAGTTTCTCTGCATTAAGGGCAACAAATGCTAGCTAGTTTTTTAGGTGTCTTACCTATCCTCACCCCCCTTGTGTGCTCTCGCTTTTATCATGTGCTCATAGTCCAATCCCCTTGTTGTGTTTGCCCTTGATCTAATGTCCACATATGAGGGAGAACATACGATTTTTGGTCTTTTGAGCCAGGCTAACCTCACTCAGAATGATGTTCTCCAATTCCATCCATTTACCAGCGAATGATAACATTTCGTTCTTCTTCATGGCTGCATAAAATTCCATTGTGTATAGATACCACATTTTCTTAATCCATTCGTCAGTGCTGGGGCATCTTGGCTGTTTCCATAACTTGGCTATTGTGAATAGTGCCGCAATAAACATGGATGTGCAGGTGCCTCTGGAGTAACAGTCTTTTGGGTATATCCCCAAGAGTGGTATTGCTGGATCAAATGGTAGATCGATGTCCAGCTTTTTAAGTAGCCTCCAAATTTTTTTCCAGAGTGGTTGTACTAGTCTACATTCCCACCAACAGTGTAAGAGGGTTCCTTTTTCCCCGCATCCTCGCCAACACCTGTTGTTGGTGGTGTTGCTGATGATGGCTATTCTAACAGGGGTGAGGTGGAATCTTAGTGTGGTTTTAATTTGCATTTCCTTTATTGCTAGAGATGGTGAGCATTTTTTCATGTGTTTTCTGGCCATTTGAATTTCTTCTTTTGAGAAAGTTCTGTTTAGTTCACTGCCCATTTCTTTATTGGTTCATTAGTTTTGGGAGAATTTAGTTTTTTAAGTTCCCTGTATATTCTGGTTATCAGTCCTTTGTCTGATGTATATTGGCAAATATTTTCTCCCACTCTGTGGGTGTTCTCTTCAGTTTAGAGACCATTTCTTTTGATGAACAGAAGCTTTTTAGTTTTATGAGGTCCCATTTATCTATGCTATCTCTTAGTTGCTGTGCTGCTGGGGTTTCATTGAGAAAGTTCTTACCTATACCTACTAACTCCAGAGTATTTCCTACTCTTTCTTGTATCAACTTAAGAGTTTGGGGTCTGATATTAAGATCCTTGATCCATTTTGAGTTAATCTTGGTATAGGGTGATATACATGGATCTAGTTTCAGTTTTTTGCAGACTGCTAACCAGTTTTCCCAGCAGTTTTTGTTGAAGAGGCTGCTATTTCTCCATCGTATATTTTTAGCTCCTTTGTCAAAGATAAGTTGCTTATAGTTGTGTGGCTTCATATCTGGATCCTCTATTCTGTTCCACTGGTCTTCATGTCTGTTTTTGTGCCAGTACCATGCTGTTTTTATTGTTATTGCTTTGTAATATAGTTTGAAGTCAGGTATTGTGATACCTCCTGCATTGTTCTTTTGACTGAGTATTGCCTTGGCTATTCGTGGCCTCTTGTGTTTCCATATAAATTTAACAGTAGATTTTTCAATCTCTTTAATGAATGTCATTGGAATTTTGATGGGAATTGCATTAAACATGTAGATTACTTTGGGAGTATCGACATTTTTACTATGTTGATTCTACCAATCCATGAGCATGGGAGATCTCTCCACTTTCTATAGTCTTCCTCAATCTCTTTCTTCAGAAGTGTATAGTTTTCCTTGTAGAGGTCTTTCACATCTTTTGTTAGGTTTACACCTAGGTATTTGATTTTTTTTGAGGCTATTGTAAATGGAATTGTTTTCATACATTCTTTTTCCGTTTGCTCATTGTTAGTGTATAGAAATGCTAATGATTTTTCTATGTTGATTTTATATCCTGCTACCTTGCTATAGCTATTGATGATGTCTAGAAGCTTCTGAGTAGAGTTTTTTGGGTCTTTAAGGTATAGGATCATGTCGTCTGCAAATAGGGATATTTTGACAGTTTCTTTACCTATTTGTATTCCTTTTATTCCTTCTTCTTGCCTAATTGCTCTGGCTAGGAATTCCAGTACTATGTTGAATAGGAGTGGAGATAGTGGGCATCCTTGTCTGGTTCCTGATTTTAGAGGGAATGGTTTTAATTTTTCTCCGTTAAGTATAATGCTGGCTGTAGGTTTGTCATATATAGCTTTTATAATGTTGAGGAACTTTCCTTCTATTCCTAGTTTTCTTAGAGCTTTTATCATGAAATGATGTTGGATCTTATCAGGAGGCTTTTTCTGCATCTATTGAGATGATCAAGTGGTTTTTGTCTTTGCTTCTGTTAATGTGGTTTATTACGTTTATTGATTTTCGTATGTTGAACCACCCCTGCATCCCTGGGATGAAGCCTACTTGGTCGTGGTGAATAATCTTTTTGATGTGTTGCTGAATTCGATTTGCCATTATTTTGTTGAGGATTTTTGCATCAATGTTCATTAAGGAGATTGGCCTATAGTTCTCCTTTTTGAAGGTGTCTTTGCCTGGTTTTGGGATAAGTGTAATAGTGGCTTCATAAAATGTGTTTTGCAGTTTTCCTTCCCTTTCTATTTCATGGAACAGTTTAAGGAGGGTTGGTATCAGTTCTTCTTTAAAGGTCTGATAGAATTCAGCAGAGAATCCATCAGGTCCTGGACTTTTCTTTTTGGGGAGACTCTTGATTGCTGCTTCAATTTCATTTTGTGTTATAGGTCTATTCAGGTGATTAATTTCCTCTTGGTTCAGTTTTGGATGATCATATGTATCTAGAAATCTGTCCATTTCTTTTAGATTTTCAAATTTATTTGAATATAGGTTCTCAAAGTAGTCTCTGATGATTTCCTGGACTTCCATGGTGTTTGTTGTTATCTCCCCTTTTGCATTCCTGATTCTACTAATTTGGGTTTTTTCTCTCCTCATTTTAGTCAGGTTTGCCAGGGGTCTATCGATCTTGTTTATTTTTTCAAAGAACCAACTTTTTGTTTCATTAATTCTTTGTATGGTTTTTTTGGTTTCTATTTCGTTGATTTCAGCTCTTATTTTTATTATTTCTCTCCTTCTATTTGTCTTGGGATTTGCTTGTTCTTGTTTTTCTAGGAGTTTGAGATGTATCATTAGGTCATTGATTTGGGATCTTTCAATCTTTTTAATATATGCACTCATGGCTATAAACTTGAGGAAGAGATTTTTAAAGGAGCTAAATAATAGAGCATGTGTAGAGTTCAATTATAAGTTGAGAAGTAGAGATGAGGCTGAAGAGGTAAATAGGAGCTAGATGGAGACCATTTTTGCTATTTTAGGGATTTATATTTTGTCCTCAAAGTATTGGGAGACCACTGAAGGACTTTAATCAGTGGTTTGATCAGAATTTCACTTATAAAGATCACTCTTGACTTCAATGTAGAGAAAGTGTTAGAAAATGAAAAAATAGGAATATGGGGACTCATTGGGTTGCTTTTTTTTTTTTCAATAATTAAAGTAGAATTATGGTCTACTCTTAGGCAATGGCAGTAGAAATGGAAAGACATGACTGAGCTTAAAATACTGTTCAGGGATATTGTTCATTGTACTTGATTGGTTTTTAAAGGTGATGCCCAGATTTCTGGCTGAACTTGAGTAACCAGTAGAGAAACTGGGCCCCTGTAGGGCAGGAACGGTTTTAAAAAAGCAAGTTTGGGAAAGTAGGGATAGGATAAATTCAATTTGAGAAATACTGAGTTTAGAGCTCAATAGTAGAGCACTTTCTTAGCATCCATGAAGTCCTGGGTTCAATCCCTCACATTGAGAAAAAAACAATTTAGAGGCCTGCAAGATATCTAGGAAAGATGTCCTAAAGGTCGTTGGATGTAACAGTTTGACAATCAGGACAGAAAGCTGAGTTAGAAATACAGATTTTGAGAGTCATTCATATGAAGATGATCATTGATGCCATGGGAGTAAATAAATCTTTCACTGGGAACATACAGAGTGAGAAGAGAAGACAACTAGTAAAGAGCCATTAAGATTGCCAGTACTTAAGAAGGGCCTGATTCATTGGGAAGAAACCTCAGTTTCTTCTAATTCATTGATTTCTGGACTTTATGTCCTAGCAGGAATTTTGCTGTTTGAATCTTTTGTTAAGGTCTTTATGTTAAACTTGTAATTTTTTTCATTAATAGATACAGATGAATAAATCTCAAAGTATGGACCTTAAAAGGTTTGGTTTTACTCCAAAACCTTCCCTTCCCAGTATATCAAGGTACAAATATGTCAATATCTAAGTTAAAATATTCATCTTAAATATTCTGTTCCTCCACATAGCCACTTATTCAAGGGAAGGTGTCACTGGCTACTCAAAGAAAATTGCAGTAGTCATTTAGTTCCATATGAAGGATTTCATTGTCTTTCATACTGTAAATTTGCTTAGAAGCCTACAGTTATAGAATAATATAACATTTGTTGAATTATCTCTTTTCTAGGGAACTACCCCACTCCATGTATCATCCCTTCAGGTTCTATGCCTTCTAAACTTAAGTGACAGGAATATACTGTGCTTTAGAAGGGAAGCCATGTTGGTATACAAAGTCTACACTTTCTATTCAAATGATCATTTCTTATTAATAATACTTCAGATTTACAAACTACTTTATAACTTAAAAGTTTTACTTTTGTGCACTCTTTTGACCTTAGTAACAACCTGACTCATAAAATAACTTATTTATTCACTTTATTGACAAAATATTCCCAGTTAGTAAGCAGAAGTCTTTAGATGGTAGTTCATTGTTCTTTTGCTACATCATGATACCTAAAAGACAACAGTATATGTAATTTCTCATCCAGATAAGGGCATTTTCTACACAGGGATGACATTCACTTTATTTACCAACCAATACAAAACAAGAAGTTAACCAGAGTACTAGAGCCCAGCATTACTTCTAGAGATCTCAGTGCTTGCTATCTAACTAAAAATGGCAATAGTAATGTATTTTTAAAGATGGTACAATGATAGAAGATACCTACTTGGGCCATGTAAAGATGACTGAGTGTTGGTCTCTTCCCATTATATACTTTACTATGTAGGCTGGCTGCAGTTTATCATAAAAGGGTTACGTGAACAAACCATTTTTCATTTATCTGAGTAAGATTTTTAAGGCCAAATTCATTATAATATTTTCTTTAACATTTTTATGGTTTTATTTGTCCTCATATATTTAAGCATACCTGAATTGCCTATAATGGAGCAGTGGGATCAGCATGAAATCTATGAAAAAGTTCAACAAGAACCATCTGAATATCAAGGCAAAGGTAAATTTCTGTTGATATTGACTTAAGAGGGAATATGATTTATCATTACTTTGGATTAACAAGTAATATAATTTTAGAAACATCTAAAATTATGCACCTTTTAACTTGGCAACATTTTTTCTCTTGGGTTATTGAACCAGTTTCAAATTCTTGAGTTTGTTATTTCAGATGATCTTGCTGTATGTCAAGAATTTTTTTTAAATATCTTCCCTACACAGTGTTGACTATTTTACTTAAAGATAATATGAGAAAGAGCTGAGAAAATAAAGAATGGTTGGGTAAACAATATTAAAATGCTGAATTATTACTTTCACATATCTTTAGAATTATTTTAAATAACTTTATGTTTATAAAATCAGTTTAGTTTTACAAAATAGTGTGATCTTAGGGAATTATTTTACCTCCTTTGGACCTAAATTTCATCTCATCTTTGACCATTAATACCTCTTCAGTTATCAAACATGAGTCTTACAATTTCTGCGAAACTGTGATAATATAATCTAGGTTGAGGGGTCTAGGAAGTTCATAATCTAGATTTGCTTTTAATATGTGTCTATCATTAAATTAATGAGATAATGCATATTAATTCTTCAGCTCTATGCCTGGTTCATCATTACACTGGATTCTGATATTTTTAGCATTATTTCTCTAGATCATGCTATCAATAGCCACTCTTAAAATGCATGAGAAATAACGCTGACCAGTGAGTTGTTTATTCGAGTTGTTATATGTAAATGTAAGTGAAATGGTAGGTTTTGAGTTTTTCTGAAAATAATTTCATGTGTATCATTGACTTCTGTTGCCATTCTTTATTTCATTGCTGTCATTTTATGTTTCCTTTAGTCATAATTTAAGATCTTATGGGGCTGGTACAGCACTTACCTGGCATGTGCAAGGCCCTAGGTACAATCCCTAGTATTACAAAAGAATCAATTAATCAATCGATAAATAAATAAATAATTTTAGGGAGACAAGGGGTGGAGCATCTGTCACCTTTTGTGATACAATGACATCCATCAAACCCAATATCAGATCAAGGAAGTTCCCTAATCTCACTTGGAGATGGGACAACTCCATGGACTCATGCAAGAAAGAATTCAGGGATAGATACTCAGGGGCGTCTTCAACAGAGCAGATTTATTTAAGCAAAAGCTAGATTTTTTTGAAGCATACACAATCATACAGCAATAGTACACCCCCAAAAGAAACTAAAGACAGGTAGCTTGACAGCAGTCAAGTGCCCTGAGCACTGGGTCTTTGGCACCTTTATGATTAGGATTTAATATTATGCTAACAATTATGCTAAGGATATGTACATAATTGTGGAATTTTCCAAGTAATGGGAGGGTTCTTCCAAGAACCAGAGAATGAGGAGTGGTTTATCTAAGGTATCTTCAGAACCAAGGAGGTGATTTGAGGGGCGGTATGTGCATGAAACCTCACTTTAATGAGAAGTAAATGAGGCCTCTGGCTAACCTCTAAAGTTAGAAAATATTCTGTTGGGGTTATTGCTGTAGACTGTTGGCTGCTGGACCAAGAAGTAGTCTCATTCGTAATCACCTGTTACTCCCAGACAATGGTGGAGCAGGATGGCAAAATGTATCTGGATATAGTGCTGCACCTGTTCCATGGCTCTTTTGTGTCATTGTCATTCCCTCCTTTTCACCTGCCTACCCTATATCGACAGCATTTATTCAACTTATTCAAAGTCTGAATATCATTACGAAAATGGAAAGCAGGTTTAAAAAAAATTCAACTCTCATTTTTATTATCTTTCAACCTATAGCCCACTAGCTTGTTTTTTCCTAAAATTGCTGCTGTGTTTCCTTCTCTCCCCTCCACCCCACTCCCCTTCTCTCCCCTTCCTTTTCCTGCCATACAGTATGGCATTAAGCTCACAGGATCTGGAAACAGTCTACTAGGTCAAAGTTCTACTTCTTCTGTTTACTTCAACCCTTCATAGTGTACTTAACCACTTCATTTCAATTCTCCATTTGATTATATTTTAGAATTAAATGAAATAATGTATTAAAGCACTTAGCATAGTATCTGGTACTATTAATAGTAGCAGTGAGTATGTTTACTATACTTTTCACATATCAGTCTCTGTTGGCCATGAATATGGGAGGAGCAATTGGGGTTTGACCTCAGGGCTTCATGCTTGCAGAGCATTGAATTTATACTTTCTACCATCTTATCCCACCCTACCCCAATTAAATATTTCTCTGTCTCTGTACCCATCCTTAACCCTTTATTGGTCTTGAAAGAAGAATTACTTGTTCTTCTATTCAAGGTTTCTCTCCCCACCTGTAATCTTTTGTTTTGTTTTTCTTTTTGTTGCAGTACTGGACATTGAACCCAGAGTCCATTATGTGCTAAAGCTCAAGTCTACCACTTGAGCCATGCTACCAGCTCTTTTGTTTTATATTTTGTTTTTGAGATAGGATCTTGCTAACTTTGCCCAGGCTGGCGTCTAACTTGTCATCCTCCTGCCACCATCTCCCAAGTAGCTGGGACTCATTTGTGAACTTAACTACATTGAATTCTGCCCTCTCTTGAACTTCAGGAGACCAGTTATCCCTCTCCCCTTTCCTCTATTTTTATATATCTCTCGATTTATTATCTTGCTTTAGCATATAAATATGCTCACATCTCTTCCTTCTTCAGCTACATGTCTCCATCTAGCTAGTCATAACCTTTTTGATTATAAATTGATAAAAGTTCTACTCAAAGTGACTTAAGCACAAAAAGGGTAACTGATTATCTCATATCAACTGAAAAGTCCAAGCAGGCATCTGGGTTTAATCATGACTAGATTCAGGCACTCAAATGATCTCATCATTCCGTGGCTTTCTTTCAGTCTTTTAGCCATCCCTGCTGCTAATTGGCTTTATTCGTTAAATAGACTTTCTCACATGGCAAGTAGTCCCCAAGTTTAGTGGTCTCAGTAGAAAAAAAGGTAGTCTTCCCTGTTAGTTTTGCACACCTGAGTTCATTCTAACTGGTTTCATTTGAGTCATGTGTTCATCCTTTGATCAATCCCTGTAGCCTGGGAGTTGGGTTGTTTTTGTCCCTGAAACCCCAGGGAAGGCAGGGTACCATAAAAAATTTGGAATAGTGGAGGCAAGTTTCCTCAAAGGAAAATAGAGGTGCTTCTACTACAAGAATAAAAAGCATCCCAGACAGACAAAATCCAGAATCCTGGAATATCTGTCCTACCTCGTGCTTCCTTTTGTCAAAATAAAAATTCTCAAAAGAGCACTTTACACTCACTATGCTCATTTTCTTATAATCTGGTCACCATTCACTCGTTAAAATTTGGTTCTCCATCACTATTTGAAACTGTTTTTGCTCAGGCCATTTAGTGACCTCCTAAGTGCTGAATTTGTGAGCTCTTTTCAACGTTTACTTTTGGCCTCTGTAGTATTTGATACTTCTGTCTTTTCCTTCCTTCCTTTTAGAAGTCTGTTGATTTCAATTAAATAATTCTATTGGTTGTTCTGGTACTTCTCAGTCTGGTTTTTCTTCCTGTTGATATTGCAAAATGAAGTGAATTCTTTTTGCTTCTTTATTCTTCTCACTTCAAAACAACTTCTCCTAGACAATATTGCTCAAGTCCATGTGTTCAATCACTATATTGTGATAATTTCTAAATCTATATCTCTTTCTAACTATAACTCCACTTGCATAATCACCTTCTGGGACATGTCTACTTAAAAGTTAACATATTAGCCTCTAAACTCACTCATTTCCTCCCTCCCCTTCCTTCCTTCCTTCCTCCCTCCCTCTTCCCTTCCTTCCTTCCTTCAGTATTGGAGCTTGAACTCAGGGCCTCATGCTTGCTAGGCAGGCACTTTAACACCTGAGCATACCCCCAGCCCTTTTTACTTTAATCACTCTTTGGATGGTATGTTTTTTCCCCAGACTGGCCTAGATCACAGTCTTCTATTGATGACTCCTGCATAACTGAGATGACAGGTTTGCACCACTGCACCCAGCTTATTGGTTTAGATGGGGTCTTGCTGAGTTTTTGTCTGAACTAGCCTTGAATGGCTATCCTTTCAGTCTCCATCTCCATAGTAGCTGGGATTTCAGGTGTGAATCAGTAGCCTGGCCTCTTTCTGTCTTCTTTGTGCTCACTATACTTCTGTTTTTTCCTAATCCTTATGACAGTTTAGGAACTTATCACTTAGTCTGTTTCTTAATCTATTTTATTTTATTTATGTTCTTGAGGTTATTTAGCTATATAATAGAAATACTGTATAATGGTGTTCTGTAGAGTTACTTACATATAGAAATTAAGAGAAAACTGTCTTAAAATCCATTAAAATTAAATTTAGTGCAATTACTAATATGTAATACTGTAAATAGAATTGGCTGAACACAATATTCAACAATGCTTGACCAATGCCTTTGAAATGTAATGCTCAAGAACTCTGCTTAGTAGTTGAAAGATATGTTTGCTATATCAATATGAAGAGAGGCTTATGATTTAAAAAGTACTTATACTTTCACATAAACATATAACAGATTTTTCTGGATGGAGCTATTCTACAACTTTAAATGAGAAAGCACATCAAACAATGGTGTTCAACAGAAATCTTAATGTATCTGGAAACCAAAATTTGACAGATGCAGATAAAGGCAAAGAAATTTTGAATGTGAACTTTGAATTGGGAAATGAAGTTTGGGATGATTTTGATGATGAAAACTTAATAGAAGCTACTATCTTTTCAACTGATACTGAGAAGACAAAGATACCAGGTAAAGCAGTATTTCAGCATGAAGTAATTTCATTAGAAATTCTTCAAATATTTTTTATTTTGGCTCCTGCGACTAATTTTCTTTGCCTATTTATGTGTGTTTGTTTAATTAGATTTGGTATGTGAAGATTATAATTTCTAGCAAAGCTAAAAAGTAACCCATACAAAGGGTAAAGGTCAAGATTATTTCATGATGATGAACTAGCAAGTGAGCTTTTTCTATTCTGAAGTTTCTCTCTTTGTTGGAGACCCTATTCAAATTCAGATTGTTTATTAAATTTTCCCTCATAAAACAGACTATCTTGCTGTGCATTTTAAGATCTGGCAATATTTGTGAAGCACAAAAATATTCCATTTTTAAACATATTCATCCACTTGCAAAAAAGGTAAGTTTTCTTCCTAGTCAAAATATTGACCATTCAGAAAAAAGTAAGAAAGGATTAGTGTCTTTTGTATTGAAAGTTATATTTAAATCATATATGAATCAAAAATAATGAGAGTTCTTTGAGTTGTGCAGATAAATTCATTCTGAATATTTCACTGAAACAAAGAATTAAAATCTTGGGAAGTAGTTGACAAGATATCAAATGGAGATATTCTTTCCCCATGTAGGCTGAAGGAAGGATACAGTCCCTCTCTAAAGTAGATCATATCCCCACCATTATAGTTTTGCTGCTTTTTAATATGCCCTACCTCGTGCTCTTTATAAAAACAAACTCTTATCCAGTGCCAGTGGTTCACACCTATAATCCTAGCTACTTGAGAGGATGAGATCAGGAAGATTGTGGGTCAAGGCCAGCCTGGGCAAATAGTTCACAAGACTAGATTTCCAAAATAACCAGAGCAAAATAGGATGGAGGTGTGAAATAAGTGGTAGCATGAAGCCCTGAGTTCATACCCCAGACCCACAAACTTTTTTCCAAGGGAACTGGTTAGAAGTTGAAATATTATTACCTTAGGGCTCTAAGAATTACCTAAAGAGTTAATATTGCTCTTAGAAAGATCAGAATTTGACCACTTTTACAAAATAGGCCTAGAAATCTCTATGACATGGTCATTAGGCATAGTTTCCTATACAACTACTAATCCCTACCTCAAGATTGAATGTCATTGTGTACAGTAAGGTAATAGGTAAGGGATATTGATTCTTTGAGGTCGCTTAGTCCTATTAGGGCATAGCTTTGTTACTGGAAAAATCAATTTCAATAAACTGATTCACTTAAATAATTATATGCAGGCCATTGAAAATATTGAATGAATTTCAACTTGATCATAGTGACTAATAAGTTATGTGTTTTATAGTTTTATTTTGCTAGCTTTATGCCTTATTTTTCTATGCAAATTAAATTTGACTATTGAGAATTATACATTTCTTTCTTAACTAGATCATGTCTGTTGGAGAGATCCTTTGTCAAACTAGTGAAAAGCTTTATTCAGCTGTTTCTTGGCATTTTATTTCAAAATGTTATCTCTTTACATAGGATTTGGAAAAACTTTGGATTCAAGTACCAGGGGAAGGAAACTACCCCTCCAAGAGTCAAAGAACACAATCCAAAAAGAAATGTCAAACAGGCAAGTTTTAGAACTTTGGTTTGTAATTCTTACCACTTTATATACTTTTGAAACATAATCAAAAGGGGAGGTAGAGTTTACTGGACGTCAGAGAAGCTATAAGGTACTAGTCAACACAACCTCTTAATCTTAGAGAGATGTCTTGTGAAGTGCTATTGTCAAGCAGCCTGCATCAAAATCACCTACTGGGGCATATTTAAAAAGCTCATCCCTGAGCCCCACATTGGATTTACTGAATCATGGTCTCTGGGACTAGAACCTAGGAATTTTCATAGACAAGTAGGAAAAAGGTGAGTGTAGGTATAAAGGAGTAAGGCTTGAAAAGACATTCTGTGTTCAAGTATAGTATTAAAGATGAGATTGTGGAGGTCTGATTATAAGGGCCTTTGAATGTCAAGATGTACTGTATCTGTAGGTCAAGAGTCACAAACTCAAATGCCTTTAGCATTTGGTGGTTCAAGGCTAACTATAGAGTATCCCACCTAAAGAGAGTAACCACTCCTCACTCTAGCTAATTGTTTCTGTGTGGCCAAAGTCAAAACTTCCCTAAATACAAGAAATGCTGACCACCTTTTATTCAGTGTTCAATATTTTACTTAAAGATTTTTTTTTTTTGCTTTAACAATGCTTAATTTTGTGATCGGTTTCCTCCCTGCTTATTCTTTGAATTACTATTCAGTATTATTAGCAAGTTATCATGCCATCTCTACCAAAATAGCTCTGGTGACCCAGGAGTTCACTCACTCCAAAAAATGTCCCATGTTTAATCTCTCTGACCATCCAATAGTGTTTAAAAATATTGGCCTAAAATTTACCTTTTTGTCATTAGTTCTAACTCTGAGCCATATAGAATAAATAGATATATAAGCATCTAAGTAGAACAAAGTTGTGGGTATAGAGAAGCAAAAACTAAATAAATTGCAGATTAAAATAGCAAAGCACATGAAGAATTTTGTGTATCACACTTTACAAAACTACAAATAATTTTGGAAGGGATTAGAAGTGACCAACAGAAGATAAATGGGTTTAAAAATGGATCCTAAGGGCTGGCAGAATGGCTCAAGTGGTAGAATGCCTACCTATCAGGCGTGAAGCCTGGACTTCAAACCCCAGTACTGCCTCCTCCTCCTCCCAAAAAAAAAAAGACTAAAAATGGATCCTAACAAAAAGCCTCTGTATAACTGCTATGTATGAGAAGTTACTCTAGGGACAGAGGCTATGGGACCAAAGGTTCTGGTGTGGACACTTGTTTTCCTTTGATATTTATTTTACTATTTTAATTCCTTGCTATGTATATATTATATCTATTAATGAAAAATAAAAAGATCCAAGTCCCATTAGTATACATGACTCTTCTACCCCCACCCACTGCTCATTGCTCCTTTCATGGCTATCACATTTTAGCCTTAAAGTGTCATCTTGAAATGTCACCCATTTAGAAATGTACTGATAACCATCTTTTGAAAATAAGTTTAAGCCTCCACATTCTTATTTCCTATGATATTACCTAGTCATTTCCCTCCATATAATTTCAGGCTCTATGAGTATGGATATATTTATTTTTATACATTGTCTGTTCTTCTACTAGATGGTAACTCACTGAGGGTTTGTTTACCGCTTTGTATCCAGCTCGTAGCATAATGTATGGCATATGGTAGTGAACAATAGATGTGGTTGAATGAATAAATGAGTAAATGTAATACAGAAAGTTAAATTGTAGTATGCTGTGATCTTATGTATTAAAATAACTAGAGGACTGGGCATGTAGCTCAAGTGCTAGAATGCTTGCTTAGCCATCATGAAGCCCTGAGTTCAAAACCCTTGTACCACCAAAAATAATAATAATAATAACTAGAGATATCTATCTAGAGTAAGACCAGATTAGAGAAAGGAGGATAAAAGTTAAACAAGTAGAACTTAAAAGAGATTTACAGACTTCTGGGTACTGGACAGTTAAGCATAAGACTTAATTTTAGAGAAAATTGTTGAACGATTATTTCTATCATCGCTTAAAAAATCATACTCTTATCTAATTTGAAATATGTAAATTGTGGCGTGGTCTTAAAGAAAAGAAATATACCAAATCTCTATAACCCATTTGTATAATATAATAAACTTTAGTCATACTCCCAAAATACTATTAATGTAAATTAGGATGGCTTGTTTTTCTTGTTTGCCATATTTTACAAATAATTAATTTTAATTTTTAGTTTTAGTTTTGTTTCATCACACGAGAAGCCAGATATTTATTTTTCAAATTGTGCTATGTCCAAGTTCAGTCCATCCTCTGAAACACAATTGCCTGAACACACTGGAGATGAACATATTGTAAGCAGAAGCACTTCCTTGTATCTTTGCTTTTCTTTTAAATTTTGCCAAAATATTTAAACTTACAATGATTGCTATTTTTTGCATCAAAATATAGGTGCATTTACAAGAAAGGAAACAGCAACAAAGTCTGTCACCAGAGATTGAGAAGCTTTCCTTTCCTCACTCCAAAAAGAAATCAAATTCTTATACTTTTAAGAAAGGGGATTTTTTCATTAGAAACAGTGACTCTAAAAAGGAAATTGATTTCAGGTAAGAAATACACTTTAGGATTATACAGTACAAATTTTGTATAAATAAATTCAACATTCCTTTTTCCTTGGTTTGTTTTAAAGATCACAGCCTAAACCTTTTATTTATTTAAAGATATTGAAATTTTAGTGAGTTGAGCTCTTTGAGATATTTTCCATCAGATATCTTAAGTTTTTGAAGGTTATGTTTGTATATTGAGTTGGTAAACTTGTTTTTACTGATTTGAATACAATGTATTGATTGTATAAAGGGTAATGTCATTTGAGAACCACAAATGAGATCTAGCAGATCACATTTTTCAAAAGTTCAAGTTGTATTTTAGCCAGCCAGTTATTTCAATGACAAAGTTAGAATAAGTCTAATCAGTGTCTCCACCATTGGCCATTTTTGAAAGGGAAACTCTGTGGCAGTTTCTCTCATTAAAGAGTCATAGAGGCCTCTTCACACTTTTATTAAATGACATTACTTCCCAGTATATTTGAAGAAACAACTAAGAAATTTGGTCCTTATCTTTTACAGTTTAAAAGTCTTAATTTTTCCAACAGACAAGGTTATGCATACTAAAGTTCATTTGGTATATTATCCTCAGAAGTATCTTCAAGTTTATTTATGTTGTATTAGTATACATTGTTTATTCTGTATTTTAAAGCAAATTGTTTTTCAAAAAGTTATTTTTTACATTTTCTTTTTCTTCAGTGGTTATCATCCTGATGATGATGCTGATGAAATGAAGACTTTCCTAGGAATATTTGATGGCATTTTCTAAAACAGACAAATAAAAAACTTCATAATAAGAGAAAGTATAAAGATACTGAATCCCAAAGCATGCCTTCTATTTTTAAAAATAATTTATAATTGTTCAGATATTTTTCTCTTGAAATTGATCAGTTTTATTGACTTTGTTGCAAGAAAATATATGGACTATTTTTCCATTCTATTGTAACATCTTGAAAAGCATTTCTAAAAGTCTCTTTGTTTCAATTAGCTGATCATCAATTGAGACTGAGAAATAATTGTTTAGTTAGACTTTGACAGAAACTAATTTAAGATTTCATTTCTTAAGGTATTCTGTGAAAGCAAAAAATGCTAAGTCAGTGTCTATGTTTATATTATAGATTGTTCATTAATACAGTTCTCATGTATCTTGTTTTATACTGTTTTAGATTTTTAAGAACCCAGTGGCTATTTGAACCTGTTATTTAGTTTTGAGCAATAATAAATGAATGATTAATCAGTTTAGTCATTTTCATTTAGCTTGTTTTTCAATGATCTGAATTCTAAAATCTTACAATACTGATCTTTACTATAACACAAAGGTATTATATTATTTTCCAACAAATTATATCTCAAAATTATTTCTTGATAATTAATATATAGCACTCTATACATGCTAATTTCTAATTTACTTATGATATCAGTATCATGAGAAGTTGAAGCCCACTTTAGAAATTTTGGAAAATTTTTTTCTTTAAGCAATGCTAGGAATATTTCTGTATAGCTGTCCTCAACTCAACTAGCAAAAACATTTTGTCTTCCTTATTAGGCTTGTCTCTTTTCTTCAACAAAACTAGTGATAAAGGCAGAACAGGACCTGCCTGGAATTGAGAGGGGAAGTAGGGAGAGGTTGGGGGAGGGGGCCAGGGGGGAGATACGACCCAAATAATGTATGCACATGTGAATTTAAAAAAAATAATTAAAATAAATAAATAAAATAAAAAAGAAGCAACCCTATATCATAAATGTATTGTCTACAAATCTAAAAACAAAAAAATTTTTTTTCTTTAAGTACATAAACCCTAGAGGCAAGTGTAGAAGAAAAATTTTCATTATTATTGTTAATATTAGTAAACATTTATGAGGCATATGTTTTAAATTTAGGTCCAAAAGCTTAGGACAAAACTAAGAGGTTTTGCCTTATGTTGAAAAGTAAGGGAAACTAGTCGTTTATTTTAGTTCTCATTACAATTGGTATTTTTTTTCTGCATCTGAATCAATCAAACCTTTAAAAGTTCTTAAATGCTATTAAAATGAAAAACTGATGCATTAAACTCTATCTTTCATACATAGACTTTAATACTAAAGAAATAGTAATTTAATTCAACATGACTTACTGTGATATACTAAATGAAAAACACTGTACTTGGCACTATGAAGGATGAAAACACTGTTTCTGTTTTTATGGAACTTACTTTACATTCTGGTAGAGAAGTTAAAATAATATGATAAAGTACAGACATACTCAGAGATACTGTACGTTCCATTCCTGACCACTACAATAAAGTGCATATATCAGTAAAACAAGTTATATAAATTTTTTTGTTTCCCAGTGAATATAAAGGTTTGTTTAGAGTATACTATAGCCTATTATGTATGCATTGCCATTGTATCTTTAAAAACAATGTCTATACCTCAATTTAAAAATACCATATTACTAAAAAACCCAAACAATCATCTGAACTGTTGGAAAATGTCACCGTATACTTGCTGCATGTAAGGGTGCCACAAACCTTCAGTTTACAAATAATCCAGTATCTGCAAGGCACAGTAAGTGAAGCTCAATAAAATGAAATATGCCTGTAATAATAAAATATAAAATACACTGGAACAGTGGTTCTCAAACTTCACATGCATTGCAATCACTTAGAGGACTTGTTTGAAATCATTTCTAGGTGACTTGCTCAAAGTTTCTGACTCAGTGGGTCTGGAGTGTTCCTGAGAATTTGTGTTTCTAACAACCAAAAGGTGCTGATGCTGCTGTTCCAGAGACTACATTTTGAGAGCCACTGCAATAGAGATTTAAATTGCTATTGGAAGATATTAAGAGAGAATAGAATCCCGGCCATGAAGTCAGGGAAGCCTTATAGAAAAGTTAAAATTTTAGCTTACACTTATAAGATTTTGTGGGGAAAGATATGAGAAAAGAATATTCTAGGCAGAGAGAACAGCCTGAGCAAATGTCCGAGAGAGACGGTATCTATAGAAAGTATCTATTTAGGGAATAATGAATAGATAATTTTAGACACAGGTTAATATTATAGAAGTATAAAATGTTCCTTAAAGCCAGACCATAGAAGGCTGTAGATGAAATCCAAGCTTTATTCAGTAGACTAGTTTTTCCCCAGACTTGCTTCAACATAAAAAACACATGAATAAACACTAGGTGCAGTAGCTCATGCCAGTTAATTCTAGCTACTTGGGAGGTGGAGACTGGGAGGAGCACAGTTGTAGTCCAGCCCTGGCACTAGGCCCTGAGTTCAAACCTCAGTGCCACCAACAAAACAAACATATGAATAGTATATTAAGTATACAAATACCTGGACCTCACCTGAGGTCTACTGATTCAGTATCTCCAGCAGAGGGGACTGAGAATTCTGTAGTTTAAACAAGCACTCCAAATGGTTTTTATTATCAGAGCAATTTGGGAAACACGTAGTAGATAATAGATTCACTTCTTAAGTAATAAAAATGAGTGGCAAATTGACAATGTTAGAGACATGCCTCATTTTGTGCAAGTGTTTACCTGGAAAATTGTATGTATGTTAAAATATATGATACTCAGAAAAATCCTGTAATATATACTAACCTCTTAAAAAGAGTCTTAATCACTGACTTCTTTTCATGAAGTGAATAATAATGTTAAGTTGCCTTTATAAGTTAAGTTTTATTTGTATTGGGTTTATTTATTCATATAGAATAACCTATATAATGGAATTTTGCACAAAAATCTCTGCTGGATTAAACTTTTTCAAAAGTCTTTTTCAATTAAACTGTTCCTTGAGAGCTGAATTTTCTTACATTGCTGGCATAATGGTATCTACATCATAGATATGTAGTGAGAATTTAATAAGCCACTACATAGAAAGATCTTAGTTTAGAGATGAATGCATAGTTTATGCTCAATAAGTGGTAGCTGTTTATACTCCTCCCCAAAAAAATCAGTCCTAACAACATCTTAAACGGCCTGTGGAGGGGGATGGGGTTGGGGGGGAATATTTATTTGAGTTAGTTGTATTGAGTTGCATAAGGACCTGGGAAATGAACTCTTGACTCTCCACAGATGCATTGTCCATAGGAAATGTTTCCTTTCATCCCTCCATCTGTAGCAGTTGCTAGGAACTTTGCCTCATGCAATCAGAGAATGAAAGGTACAGCAACAGGGTGAGCAAAAGAGCAGAGCTGTATTTAAGCAGAGAGGAAAAGCTGAGTTTTATTTCACTAGAGGGGAAAGGAGTAGAAAAGCTCCCATATACATGGGAGAGCTCTTTTTCTAGGGGTTTTTATAAGGATTTTATTTCCTGGTTGAAGGGAAGCTGGCTGTGTCTCTGTGCTACTGGACTTTTCATGGGATGTACATCTGTGCCAGCCCATGGACTTCACAGGGTACTGCATATGCTTCCCTTTCTCTTCAAAATGGCCCTTAGGCCTAGTTCGCATGCATTTCCAATTTCAAGGCTTGAGTGAGTGGTTTCAAGATTCTCCATTCCCCACACCTGTTTATCTCAACTCCCAGGCTTAAAGCAGTCTCAAGGTCTCTTACGTTCTGTTCATCTCAAGGCCTCTCAGCCTCTCCTCAAGTGCCCTCTGCCCTAATCTTCCTGACCAGTCTCTAATGCCTAAGTCTAGTCTCACTTCTACATGTACTTTCTCCTGCTTTCAGGCAGATCCCCCATCTTTGTCTTCTCACCAACAATGTTGGTTGGTATATGATCAGAGCAGAGCATAAAATCTTATTACCATAAGTAAAATGTAATTACAAAATAAATCTGCAAATTCTATTACAATACATGCTAAAACCAAATAGAATGAATGTTGAATTATTCACTGTTCTAAATTTTGGCATAACTTATAGTGGAATCATTTCTTTTCTATTTTTGTTACCACTTCTTTTTACCATGACCTGATTTCTAAAAAATACTATCAGGCACAGTAGGGAGCCACTCTTTGAGAACCCCAAGCCTGGGGGTCACATACTTTATATTTACCTATGGCATCCTAGATAGTAGCAAGTGTCTGTATTTAAGGACTTTTGTGCAGATAGGGAAGGCACAAGTGAGGAGGAAATCAAGGCAAAGAAGAGTAAGCCCAACTTAAAATCAAGCTAAGTAAATCAGCTAAGAATTTTAGTTTGGATTCTGATTATTTAGTGGAACAAAACAAAAAAGAAAACCTCAACATTTCTTCTCTTTTGTCATTTCAGTTCCTGGCTATCCGTAATTTAAGGTATTACTACTCAAAGTCTGGTAAGAAGATAGTTATGGGGGAACTCAGTGTCTCATCCCAGGCCTTCTGAGTCAGTATCTCCATTTTAACAAGATCCCCAGCTACTAAAGTGTGAGAAGTACTTATATAACATGGAGAGGAAAGGTGGTGATATCAGAATTTTAAGAGAATACATTCCAGAAGACAAGTAGAAGAGTAATGATGATTACTAGGGTTTCTGTGCATATATTTCCCATTTAAAATATAATAGGGTGATATAGCTCTTATTTAATTGCTTTTCAGTGTAGGTTGTTTTCTTCACCAACTGTGTAAATTATCTTTATAATTCTCATGCATCAACTGGGTATTTTTTATGTAGCTTGACAGGTATTTAGATGCTCTATGGAGTTTTGTTTTAATTAACATAATAAAAGCAGATAATTCAAAAGAGTAATCTTTGTTTCAATTCAGAAACCTTTCCCTAAACTAACATATGCCTTAAATTTTTCTAGGTACTAAAGCAATACAAAATGGAAACAAAGAAACAAAACTGCAGTGAGCTTTCTTATGCTCTG